GGCCCTCACCTCCATGTTGCCCCTCGGCCCGGCCCCCATACCCATCTCTCCATCCAGAGCCTCCCTGCAGGGCTCCAGCCGGCCCCTTCCCCGTAGCCTCTCCTGGAGGCTGGAGCCCAGGGAACGTGAGCGGGAGGGTGGCTGAACAGGCATGGCCTCCCTGCCTGCCGCTGACCTGCCTCTTGCTCCTGTACTCCCACTTCCGGGGCCAAGAAAAGCCCACAACCAGGTCCATGCCCACTGCTTCTCTTCTGTATCTACAAGGCCTGTACCTTCTCCCCCTTCGGGGGTCCTGGGGTGGGATGCTCCCTGGGAGCTGGTGCTGCCTCCAGCAGGCCCTGGCCCCCCATCGTGAGGCACCCGAGGGGGGCGCTGGGCTCGCCCCTGCTCAGGATGCTCGGGGGTCCACGGTATTCGGACAGGGCCAGGATGTGGTGGCTCTCGTCACACACCATCTGCAGCAAAGCCTGAAATGGACAAACATTTCAGAGAGGAGAAGCAGCTTGACACCTCTCACCGTCGCCGCCCCGCTGTCACCCACCAAGGCTCACCAGGCCGCCCCACCGCCTTTGCACCAGAGACCAGAGTTGCTGCTCTGACCGTGAGGTTCTCAAACCTTCCTCCCTGTAGCTGTCACAGACAAGTAAACCAGCTTTGAACGAGCGAACTTCTCTGTGAGAGCTGCTCCAGCAAAGGCCCCACAATCCAGCCATCCCGCCTGCACCCTCAGAAGATGCTCAGCTCAGCGAAATCTACAGCCAAGTCAGCAAGATGCCAGGCACCTCCCCGGCCCTCCCGGGACCACAGTGCCCCACCAGGAGGGAGACCCGAGAGCTGCACAGGGACACCGCGGGGGAAAGGCACCTGCGGATGGTACCAGGCCAGCTACTGGCCACTGCAGCCCTCTCACGCCCCCGGGGGCGCCCAGAATATGTGAGCACAGGAAGGGGTCTTCCACCCCATCAGGATTTGGAGTGGTAGTTACAGAGTGATGGGGACATGGGACCTGGGACGTGCACGCCGGCCTTCTGTGCTGCCCATGGAGGCTGAGAGAGGAAGGTGCACCCCACCCAGGGCCACCCTCCTGGATGGCTGGTGCTACGGCCAATGCAGAGCACAAGTGACTGTGACCGTCCTTACACCGCGTGTCAACACAGGTTCCCGCAAGGGGCACGTTACGGAAACAGAAAAATAGCAACGAAGAGGCCTATGACAAAGAATGACTAGTTACTTAACTAGAAACAGGTCTTCCTCTAATTCTAATGACGTGACCAGAAATGTGAAACAGTGACGTAAAAGCGCTAGACGCCAAACTGTGTGCTGTGTTCACCTTACAAGCGGCCACCTTTAACACTACAACAATTTCACTTTAAAAACAATGTATGTGATGCAGAACGGACGCAAATCACAGCCCCGGGGAAGCAGGGGAGGGGAGGCAGGGAGGCTGTAGAGTGGACCGGCCGCAGGCCGTAAACACCTTCTCTTGGGTCATATAAGGACAAAAAAAGGTGTTCTGAAAACCACCTCTGGAAAAGAACAGCTGTGACGAGTGAGGTCCTCCGCCCTCGCCAACCGGGCGCACGGCGGCCAAGAGGACGGACGTGGAGCGGCCCCCGGGCCACAGGCACAGTCAGGCCGTGAGATCCCGGAGCCTCTGCCCTGAGGACCGCGGAGTCACGGGGGGCCTCGGCCTGCAGTCTCACAGCCGCATGTGAACCAGCCGCCCCGCGGGGCCCGTCTGCCCAGCAGACACGCGCTTCCCGGCGTGACGGAGCTTCACCAGCGTCGCCGGCCTCAGGGCGGCCAGAGCTGCGACCGCACGAGGCTCCTGAGACTTGGCCCTGCAGCGAGTGGCCCCCGCACCCCACTGAGGATGGTGCAGCGGAGGGGCCGGCAGGGACACACAAGCCGGCTGACTGACCCAACAGGCTGCTGCAGGGTGGCCGCTCCTGACTTTCTCTCCTGCTGCCTCAGCACTTCCGGAAAAGGCTCCAGGGCCTCTGCTAGGTCTCTTTCTTTCTTTTCTTTTTTAATAACTAAGTATCAAGTATTAAACCTCGAAGCCTAAGCATGAAACATTGTCATTAACAACCAAACTTTTTCCTTAAAAATTAGGGATTCTAGTATTTATGTCATATAAAAAATTGAGGAATGCAAAAAAAGAAAAAACAGCTAGAAGACACGCCTCCAATTTCAATCCTTAAAGGAATAAAACCAGTTTCATTTCAAATACAATTTCAGAGAAGATTTTACTTAACATCAAAACTGTTTCCTTTGGGAACACTTACTATCTGAATTAGAGCGCCCTCAAAGCTCCTGGGAAAGCTTCCAAAGCCAAACAAGCAAAATCCACGACTGCTTCCCAGAATAGGGTCACGAGCTCTGGCACCTGAACGACACTCAGGAAGACCAATCCAGTTTCGCCTTGCGACTTGGGACAGCGCCACGCGTGCAGGCCCTCTGGGCGCTGTGCTGTGACAGGCGCTGCGGGAGGAGCCGCCCCCGGCCACAGCTCCCGCGGCCCCCGAGCGTGGCCAGGCCCCACCTGGGACATCGTCCCTGCAGTCCTGCCACAGCGGCGCATCTCCCCTCTTCGAGCCGCTACACAAGGCACAAAGTCGTAGCAGGGCTGAGGCCAGCGCAGCTGCGGACGGGCCAGAGGGGAGGCCCCTCGAGCCCCCTCCCCCGCTCCCCGCCGGCCAGTACCTTCACTTGCTTCGGATGGACTTCCTTCTCCTTCCTGGCGCCCAGCGGCCGTCGGAACCCCTGGGGGGTGAGAGGCGCTGCGTGACCAGCAGTGGGCGCTCCCAGTCTTCCCGAGCCTTGGCTTAGTGTCTCTCCAAACCCCGCGCCATCACCTAGAAACACACCGCAGAGTCAGGGCCTAGACCCGCGACTCTGGTGGCGATCCTCGGGGACGGCCCCGAAGCACCGGGAGAGCCACGGCCAGGCTCCTCTCACCAAAGGAAACATCGATGGACACCCCCAGACAGTAAAAATGTTTCATAAAAACGTAAGATGAGAGCTACACATGTTAAGTAAGAAAACGTACATTTTGCACTTTTAGCATGTTAAACGTCTGTGATTTGAACATAAACCCTCCTGGCAACTCAGCTCATTTTCACAAATGCGATATGTGTTTCCTCACCCCCACCACAGACGGGGCAAATCGGCAACTGTGCCGAGCGCCTTGGAGGACGGACGAGAGGGGCAGCGGGACACGAGGCAGGGGCACTGAGTGGGAGGACAGAGCCGAAGCACCTGGCCGTGGGGCGGGGGCGCCTGATCTGGGGGTGGGTGCAGAAAAGCCCGGACTGGGCAGCCCGGCTGGGGAGCCCTCAACAGAGTCTCAAATTCGAGACTCCAGGAGCCACTGTCTGATGGGAGGGGCCTCAAAATAGAACTCCTAACCTCTCGGAAGCATGCAGCTCCCTGAGCTGTTCCTGAGCCTTGAACTGTGGCCAGTCCAGGAAGGCTTGGAAGCACACACTCTGGAAAATGGAAGGAGGCACCCGGTGGAAAAGCAGAGCCCACCATCCCCACCAGCACACAGCTCAGGGAGGGCAGGTGGATCTCATGGAGTCACCGGCAAGGCCCCTCTGAGCACAGAGCTGCCATCCAGTGAGCCGTTCACGACTGCTCTCTCAGAAGTCTACCTTCTCAAACGTGCCAGGGAACATTCAAACACAAAAGACAGAGAGAAACAGAGACTCAGAGAAAGTGTGGAAGAAACAGAGTAAAGGCAGCAAACAGAAGAAAACATCAGAAAAATTAGAGCATCCCCAGAGAAATAGGAAGGGGAGTATCGTTCAGGAAACGAGGGTTAGGGGTAGGAAAGAGGACTAGTCAGAAACTAAAACAGCAAAAATTAAAATAGTCAATACAAAGCTTAAGAAGTAAAGCTCTGAAAAATCTCTTAGAAATGAGAACAAGAATACAAACATGGAAAAAGAGAAAGAAAATGAGTACAAGAGGTCCAATATGTGATCAATAAGAATTAACAAGACAGACGAGACAAAACCGTGGGGGAAATGACCAAAGGACGAAGCAGAGTTCTCGGGGTGGGAGGACGTGCTCCAGGGGACCATGCGCTGCTCTCATGACACCCGGGTCCAGGACAGTGGGCTCCACGGTCTGAAGGAACCCAACTCCCCACCCAGGGTCAAGCCCAAGCCCAAGACGCCGACATCAGAAAGATGTCAATGTTCACACACAAAGTACCCTGCACACCCTTTGCCTCCAGAAACTTGTAGGGGGTCCAACCCGGAAAGCAAGGACCACGTCCAAGACGCAGAGAAGGCCGTCATGGGCAGCGCATACCTGCACTCAAAACACGCATCCTCGAAGTGCAGACACTCGGCAGTGACGGGGCAGAAAGTGCAGGTGGGGCCATTTTAGGGAGACGGGAAGGGAGGTGTGCGGGGTGTGCTGCATAAATAAATACTAGAGCAAATTTCTGAAAGTTGAACATGATATCCTCAGGAAACGGCGACTCCAAGCAGGGAAACTGGACGAGAGGCTGCTCCTGGGACGCACCTCACAGAACTGCTCAAATTGTTACATCACGTGGCTACTGCTGGGAAGAAGTGAGAGCACCAGCTGAAAAGCTGTTGGCCCCATTCCGCAAATGCCAACGTGGCCAGTGAACTGGACTTCACTGCTGCCTTGTCCTCAAAAGCACCCAATGAGTCAATGGTGACTTTTTTCAAAAGTCAAAACACCTTGAGGTGACTGACTTGTAAAAATCTAACAATTATAGAAGAAAGCATAAGGTTAGAAAGTCACGGTGTGGCAGCCATCATAGTGACAAGGATCCAGGCAAGACCACCAAGAACCATCAATGGAGGCCAAATGGGTCCGAGCTTGAGGACAGAACGTCCCAGGGTCTCGAAAACCTACCCAGGACATCGGCCATTCAGAAGGAACAAGATGAAACCTGGCAACACAACTGCAGAGTCCAAACGGACCCACATGAAGAGCACGGCACCGCCAGGGCGCTCATGGAGTCCCACGAGATGCACACATGCCGACGAACCTGCCGCGAACATAAAGAGACAGCCCTCGTGGGGTCCAGGCCCGAGCACTGTGCCAGGCACCTGGCCTGCTCTCACCAGTCTCCAGCCCGCAAAGGACGTCTGGATGCATGGTGGCAGCCACCGCTTGTTTCTGTAAACAGCACTAACGGGACAAAACCTCAGTGAAGTATGCGGATGCGAGGCTGCCCTGGGTCAGGGCGGATGTCCTGGCGTGGACTGGACGCCATGAGATACACAGGGACCTTCTCAGGAGTAAAATGACATCAGGTCCTCAAGTAACAGAGCACAAACCCAGAGGGAGACAGACACAGAGAGAGAGAGAGGCAGAGTGTGCACACGCAACACGGCAAGTTAACACAGGACGTGCGAGGGCGGGGGCGCACAGGGACTCTGCACCATTCTATACTCTGAAGCTGTAAAAATAAAGTTTGTGACTGACTCACTTTTTCCATCGCTTTTTCCTTCTAACCCAAGAGGAGGTGATCTTGACTTTTCTTGAGAATCAAGAGACGTTATGATAAAATCTTCAACATCTTTCTCCTGTTCAAATAGGTAGATGTTTAAATGGTCATAAAATGATAACGTGTTATATCATGGAACTGAACTTGCCAGATGGAAAACTTGCTAAGTCCTGAATTTATCATCTTCCCACACAGAACTCAAAGTGTTCACAGCTTGTGGACACGAGGCCATACACTCATAATAATTTAATCAAATTCATCCACGGTTCTCTAGGAATATTTTTAAAAGTCCCTGGCAAATATTTCAGATTTTCAAAATTTTGCATGATGTAGCAGCATATGGATATGAAGTGGAAGCATGTGGATACCTTAAATTACACACATCCCGTAATTTATTTTTCATTTTATCTAATCTAAGATACATAAAATCTCAAAATTATGTTAGATAAAATATAATCTAACCCAAAAATAATATATTGAAGTGTTCTTGAAATTAATAACATTATATATAGAACCTGTTAAACATGATATAGAACTGAAAATAAATCTAAACAACATCTTCCAGACAAAGAACCCATATGCAGACCACACGTGAAGATAGGTTTATGATTATACTTCCCAAAGCCAGTGTGAGTTAGCAAACAGGCCTGCGGAGAATTTCTGAGTAAGAGTAATGCATTTCATGTATTTTTAAAAACAACCAAAGTGCTGTGAATGTTCCTATGACAGTAGACTTGGGTCCATCCTGCAGAACACTGACTTTCCCTAGACTTGCTGACCAGGGGACTGCTCACGCAGGCCTGGCCAACAGGCCACAACAGGAGGTGAGCCAACAACGACTGCAGCTGTGACCCTGCCATCCACGTAGACACAACCCAGTGGGAACACACTGGGGCCTTGGGCATCCCATGGACACAAACCAGGACAGCACCCAGGGAGACCACTTACCACAGGCACCCGCTGAGCATGGTGGTCGGTGGAGGGGGCCCCGTCTGCAGCTAATGGAGACCCCGCCCACTTAGGGGCCATTCCTGCCGCTGACTCGCCCGGGGAACAAAGCAGCCCCAACTGGTCAGCCTGGAGCAGCTGGGTGCTTGTCCCGTCCCACAGGGAGGTGTCCAGACTGCGCTGGCTCAGGGCATCCGAGCAGGGTGTGAGGGGCAGGCTGGGGGGGCACTCAGAGATTGAGTCCTTCCTGACGACCTCGGGGGAGCTCCAGGAGGACAGGTCCATCGTCCTGAGCACTTTCTTCAAGGGCTTGGTCCCCTGGGTGTGGGAGAGGTCATGGGAACACCCGTACAAGCTCCCCTGTGAGCAGAGTGACCTGTCTTGCAAAGCAACTTGCTCTCCTGTGGAAGTATCTGGCACCTCGCTTTGTATCAACGCATCCTGATTTCCAATAATGTCAACTAGATCCCATGTGACATTAAATGCATCAACAGGAGATGATCTGTCAGTTTCTTCACTGTTACTGGAACTATCACTTGCATTATTTTCTAAAACACGTGGAGATTCCAATGCCTGTTGAAATTTAAAGTCCTCTGTCCTGACGTTTTGGAAGCTCATGCAATGTACCAGATGGTTCAGTTTTTCTTGAAGTTGTTTCACCTGATCTATGAGATCAACTTTCTGCAGCTGACAATCTTCCAGTAGTTTTTCCTTACCCTACAGGTAAAAAAGAACATGCGTACAGTAAAATAAGTGAATTACATGTTGTCATGTTTGTTATTTATGAGCCAATTTCAGAGACTGTCTGAACAATTAAGGATGAGATTCCATGATGAGCCCTTTGTCCCTCTAGACTCTTAAGATTTCAAGTTTTTTAAAATCCTATGAAAGACAGACTCAAGGCTTAAAGCTCATTGCCTAAAAGGCAACTGTTGGAGAGGCTCCTGGAAGGATGGCAGAGCAGGCAGCACCGGGAGCCCCTCTCCCGCCTGGGCAACTACTGCACTGGCAGAATGTGCCCAATGTAACTATTCTGGAGGTCTGCAGTCTGTTGAAGGCTTGCCACTTCCAGGGGAAGGTTTGGAGGGTTGAACTGCTCTCAGCTCTTAGCACAGGAACAGCTACCCATTCCCCACCCCAGGACCCAGGAGGCAGCTGTGCATGTGTCCCAGGACCTACGGTGGGCAAAAAGGACCCTGTCTTCCAAAAACTGGGAATCTGCTCTGAATGATGCTTCTGATCACAGAGGAGCAGGCACAGAGGCAGGAGGCCACGGCTGTTGCACCTGCCCCCAACTGTTCCAGCCCCTGCCCTTCTGGCTGAAGTGACTTCCAGGGGATTGAAAGGACTGGTGCCCCTTTTTTCCCACCACTGCATTTTTCTTTTCCCCTTTGGGGAAAAATTTAAAACTAGGACATTCAAAATCAACTGCATATACAGAGGAAATTCTAAAGTGAATGCGTGTGCCTGGGTAAAGGCACAGGCTCAGAAAGGATCTGAGGACTTAAGTTTACATCTCAAGCTGATCCTTAGCACAAAGACATCAACCAAAAAAAAAAAAAAAAAAAAAAACCACACAGTAACAACAACAACAAAAAAGTAAATACTGAGAAAGAGGGAGAGTCTGATTTCTAGATTTACCACATTAATAGATTAAAAATATTCAGTGTTCAACAAGCACAACAAAAATCACAAACAGGGAAGTATGGCCTAGGCATAGGAAATAAGTGAGTCAACAGAAACCATCCCTGAAAAAGACCTGATGATGGATCTACTAGACAAAGACTTTAACACAGCCTTCTTAAAGATGCTCACAGAACTAAGGAAAATGTGAAGTAAAAAAAAAAAGCATGAGCAAACTAGAAATATCAATAAAGAAAAAGAAATGAAATTCTGCAGTTAAAAAGTATAACTGAAATTAAAAACTCACTAAAGGGATTCAAAGGTAGATATGAGAAGGCAGAAGAAAGATTCAGTGGATGCGAAGACAGAACAATGGAAATTATCAAGTCTGGGGAAAAGAAAAAAAAGATTGAGAAAAGTAAGTGGAGCCTCAGGTAACTGTGGGACACCACTGAACAAACCAACATACACATAATGGGAGTCCCAAAAGAAGGGAGAGAGAAGGAAGCAAAGAGAATATATGAGGACATAATGAATGAAAACTTTCCAAACTTGATGAAAAATATGAGCATAAATACCCAGGAAACTCGACAAACTCCAAGTAAGATGAACTCAAACAGACCCACACCAAAGACACATAATAACCAAACTTACACAAAGCCAAAGACAATGAGAAAATCTTGAAAACAGCAAGCGAGAAGTGACTTGTCACATACAAAGGATCCTCGATAAGCTTATCAACAGATTTCTCCACCAGAAACTTTGGAGGCCAGAGGACAGTAGGTCAATATAGTCAAAGTGCTAAAAGAAAAAGAACTGTCAACTAAGAATCCTAAATACAGCAAAGCTCCATCAACAGTAGGTTAGAAATTAAGACATTCCCAGATAAACAGAAGTTGAGGGATCTTGTCAGCACTGAAACCTGCCCTGTAAAAAACGTTCAAGAGAGTCTGGCAGAGAAAATGAAAGAACACTAGACAGTAACTCAAAGCTGTATGGAGAAATAAAGACCTTAATAAAGGTAAATACATGGGCAGTTATAAAAGCTAACGTTATTTTAACAATGGTTTATAACTGCGCTTTTTGTTTTCATCATGAACTAAAAGACTAATATACATATTCCTAAGTTATTGGTCTAAAAGTATTACTGTAACTTTAGTTTCTAACTCCACGTGTTGTTTTCTACATAATTTAAAAGATTAATGCATTTAAAGGAATTATTAGTTTATGTTTAAAGGCACGTAAGTATAAAGATGGCTTTTGGTTACATCAAAAACCAAAAGGAGTGGGGATGGAGCTACAAAGGAACAGGTTTATGTGTTATTAAAATTAAGCTGGTATAAATTCAAGTCAGAGTGCTTTATGTTAGGATGCTAAATGTGAAAATAGCAAAAGAATACACACAAAGAGAAGTGAGAAAGGAATTTAAACATTTCACCATTTAAAAAAATCAATTAAACACAAGAGAAGAGGGGCTTCCCTGGTGGTGCAGCGGTTGAGAATCCGCCTGCCAATGCAGGGGACACGGGTTCAAGCCCTGGTCCGGGAAGATCCCACATGCCGTGGAGCAACTAAGCCCACGCACCACAACTACTGAGCCTCCGCTCTAGAGCCCGTGAGCCACAACTACTGAGCCCACATGCTACAACTACTGAAGCCCGTGTACCCAGAGCCCGTGCTCCACAACAAGAGAAGCCACCGCAGTGAGAAGCCCGCGCACCGCAACGAAGCATAGCCCCCACTCGCCGCAACTAGAGAAGGCCTGCGCCCATCAACAGAGACCCAACACAGCCAAAAAAAAAAAGACACTACCCACAGAGTAAAAATGCAACCCACAAAATGGTCAAAAATATTTGCCAATCATACACCTAATAAGGGATTAATATACCCAGCAATATATAAAGAACTTGTAAAACTCAGTCAAAAAAACATACAACCTGATTCAAAATTTGCCAAAGGACTTGAACAGACATCTCTCCAAAGAACATATACATGAAAAGATATCCACTATCACTAGTCATTTGAGAAATGCAAATCAAAACTACAATTAGATACACCTCACACCCATTAGGATGACTACTATCAAAAAAAAACAAACCAGAAAGTAACAAATATTGATGAGGATGTGGAGAACTTGGAACTCTTGTACACTTTTTTTTTTTTTTTTTTTTCGGTACGCGGGTCTCTCACTGTTATGGCCTCTCCCGTTGAGGAGCACGGAGCACAGGCTCCGGACACACAGGCTCAGTAGCCATGGCTCATGGGCCCAGCTGCTCCATGGCATGTGGGATTCTCCCGGACCGGGACACGAACCCGTGTCCCCTGCATCGGCAGGCGGACTCTCAACCACTGCGCCACCAGGGAAGCCCCTCTTGTACACTTTTGATGGGAATGTAAACGGGTACAGCCACTGTGGAAAACACTACAGCAGTTCCTCAAAAAATGAGTAGAATTACCATATGATCCAGCCACTCTAGTTCTGGGTATATACCTAGAAGAACTGAAAGCAGGGTCCCAAAGACATATTTGCACATCCATGTTCATAACAGCACTATTCACAACAGTTAAAACGTGGAAGCAGGACTTCCCTGGTGGCGCACTGGTTAAGAAACCGCCTGCCAATTCAGCGGGCGCAGGTTCAAGCCCTGTTCTGGGAAGATCCCACATGCCGCGGAGCAACTAAGCCCATGCGCCACAACTCCTGAGACCGCATGCGACAACTACTGAAGCCCGCACGCCCTAGAGCCCGCACTCTGCAACAAGAGAAGCCACCGCGACGAGAATCCCACACACCGCAACGACGAGTAGCCCCCGCTCGCCGCAACTAGAGAAAGCCCGCATGCAGCAACGAAGACCCAACGCAGCTGAAAAAATAAATAAATTTGTTTATTTATTAAAAGAAAAAGTGGAAGCAAACCAAGTGTCCATCGACTGATGAATGGATAAGCATACTGTGGTGTATACATACAATGGAATATTATTCAGCCTTAAAAAGGAAGGAAATTCTGATACCTGCTATGACATAGATGAACCTTGATGACATTACATTATGCTGAGTGACATAAGTCAAACACAAAAAAACAAATACTGTGAGATGCCACTTATGTAAACAGAGTATCTCAAAAATCATACGGAAACAGAAAGCATAACGGTGGTTGCCAGGGCCTGGGGGAAGGAGGAAATGGGAGTCATTGTTTAAATGAGTAGTTTCAGTTTTACAAGATGAAAAGAGCTATGGAGATGCATGGTCACATAACATTGTAAACGTATTTAATACCATTGAACTATACGTTTAAAAATGATTAAGATGTAAATTGTATATGTATTTTGCCACACACGACACAAAAAGAGGGAACTGTTATAACCTATTTCTGTGGCAATTTACTGAGGATGTAAGTTTCTTGTTTTGGGGGTTTTTTAAGGCAAAAGGCCTGGAAGGTTCTATATGCAAACACTGGAAAACACAAAATTGCAATTTATGGAATGAATTTGGAATTTCCTTGTCAGTGTGTAACTCCTAAAAATTTGGCGACCAGCTCAGGATATCCCAGGGCCGAGCTCTCTTTTAAGAATTAAAAGAAATGTTCTTATCACAAGGATGCTGAGACAAGTTTGCTACACAGAGTAGGTGAAGGTTCTCTCCAAACAGAATGTATTTCCTGAGGGCATCTGATAAACACATGACATCAGATGCAGGCTTCCTCTATCAAAACTGCAGACCCAGGGCTTCCCTGGTGGTGCAGTGTTGAAGGAGATGCGGGTTCGTGCCCCGGTCCGGGAAGGTCCCACATGCCGCGGAGCGGCTGGGCCCGTGAGCCATGGCTGCTGAGCCTGCGCGTCTGCAGCCTGTGGTCCGCAACGGTAGAGGCCAGAACAGTGAGAGGCCCGCGTACCGAAAAAAAAAAAAAAAAGAAAAAAAAAACTGCAGACCCAGGCCCAGAGCCCTGTGTGCTGTGGGATTCAGAATCTTCCAATTTCCAACATGGTGCATGTGGCCCGTGGCACATCCCAGGAGCGCTCCCAGGAGGTGAGGGGCTGGAACACCTAGCAAAGTGTGCAACGTCCACACCAGCAGGGTGACTGGCTCACGAGAGCCCGCGTCTGAGCAGGCTTCAGAACCAAGCCCACTTTTGGTTCCCAAACATCTCAGCTCTGCAACAATTTGATGCTGCCGACCCGCACCCTCCCGACCCTGGAAAAGAAAAGGCAGCCTTCTTGTAGCTTCTGTCCTGGTGATCAGAATTTAAAACTGTTGAATCGTAGATTACTCTGCTCTTCTTTGCTGGGAGGACAAGTGAAAACATGT